GTTTTGTTCATGCATGACGAAGCATATTCTAACCACAGTTATAACCACTTCCTCAGTTTGCAGCAGAACAAATTTGAGAAACTGATTCTTGTCTAAAAGCAAGAACTGGTCTTCAGAAAGTGCAAAAAATCATTATTTTAGCCGTTAAGGATATTAATCCCAATGAACATATTCCAGTGTGTGTGTCAATACTTTTTGGATGTGTATCAAACTACAGTAGATATATCAATGCTTTTTGTCTACATTTATTCATTTTATAAAACCAACCTCCTTATCTGATCTTTAAATTACAGCAATAAATTGAATTCCTCCACTAATTCGTACAAATAATTCAACCATACTAGTACATGGACTTGTATTTGCTAAGATTTCCTCAAGCCAAATGTGATAACTGGTAACTACATAGGTCCATACAGATCATTTTCTTGGCAACAAAACCAAATTGATTTGTCATTGCCTTTTTCTAGGATGTTTTTTCTTCTTCCTCATTTTTCCAGTCTATTTTTCAGCACTAGGATTTCCGGGACTGATCTTCCATAAAAGTACTAGCCAAATTGAACCTTTTATAACTTTATAAGATCAGTCAGATTTGGCTAGGGGCTACTATATGTTGCAAGGCTTGTAATTGGGACACAGTTTTAAAAAGTATTACTTGAAAGACAGTTATTGCACCCAAATAATTTTAGAAATGTACAGAAGGTAATCTCACAGTTAAAATAAAAGCGTTTCTTTCATGAGTCTTTAGATGTCCATACAATGTGAGTAGAGAAAGGCCTCCTGTCACACAATTACAGTTGTCTTAAATCATGTTTTGTCCTGTGCATGATCATCAAAAACATCCTGTAAATGCCCTGTAAATATATATAAGATGGTATCTTTGGCATTTTTATTTGAAACATTTTGACTCCTCTATCCAACTTGCAGATACAAAAACAGAAATGTCTCAAAATGAATGAGAACTAATGGCAACCAGAAATAGAAACAATTAGAAAGAAGCAAACCAGAAAACAAAATGCAAACAAATTAAAATACATTATGGCTGCAAACTCAATAGCAACTTTAGGTTATGATAATTTAATGATCATTTAACTTCCAAAATATCAGAAATAGCAATGGAAACAAAGTGAATAATCTATTAAGTGGAAAAATCTTGATCAATAACTGAAAAATAAATATAGCAGAGATTCAGTGCCTTTGCCATACAGACTTAGAAATATTAATAGCAAGATTTTGCTTTCTTTTGTTCAATCATGTCTGATTCTTGGACGCTGCCTGGACATATCCCTGCAATTTTCTTCACAAGGTTTTTCAAAAATGGTTTGCCATTGCTCCTTCCTAGGGCTGAGACGGTACCTAGTCACCCAGGGGCCTTTGCGTCCAAGGTGGGACTAGAATTCACAGTCTCCTGGTTTCTAGCCTAATGTTTTAACCACTACACCAAACTGACTCTCAATAGCAAGGTAAGCAAGTCAGCCTCTTCTTATTGGTCCCACCCTCAGCCTGTCACATTTGAAAAACATTCTGGATATCAAATCTGAAATGATCCTAGGTTCAGGGCAACACATGGGAAGCAAATGCATACTCACCAAGAACGGTTTTTGCTCTTTGTTCAAATGCTAACAATAAATACAACAAGTAACAAACACTATTGAAATCAGTGATGGATTGCTCCCGGTTCTGTCCGGTTCTTTAGAACCAGTAGAAAAAGTGGTGGGAGGCTCCGCCACCCACCCGGATGCCATAATTGACGATCTGCAGAAGCTTCCTGCGCTCCTGTTGCAAACTGGTAGTAAAGGTAAGTAGAACCCACCCGATTGAAATGCGTATGACACAATGTACACAATAAATGAATTGTGCCTGAAAATCACATACAATATTTTAAGGACGTGCCAGGGCAATTACATGCACCCTGACAGTGTGGACTTCTTCCCCCAGAACTGAAGTGGAGATGAAGAAAGGATCTCTTTTCCTCAGGATCCTATCCTTCTCCAGAACTATGTCTCCTTCAGCTACCTTGTGCAAATTAAAACTCAGCTCTTCAATATTCTCTGGAGTGCTAAAAGGTGCCTAGGTGCAAGGCACAAAATGACCTATGTGGAATTTCACCACTTCTAAACCCATGTATCTTTGATGTTATCTTTTAATGACCCTGGCTGTAATCCCTTACATCAGGGTGGAGTCGGGGCAACGGAGTGGAGCTGAGTGTTCACTGGCCGGATGCCCTTCCTGTCACCAATGCAGAGTTCACAGCAGATAATTACTCATTGTGCCCAAAGACAGAAATATCTGCCCCTACCTAGGATTGAACTCACAACCTCCCGATTGTGAGGTGAGAGCTCCACCTCTAGGCCACTGCACCACTCATAAACCCACGTTTCTTTGATCAACAGTTAAATCCAAGAAAAGGTTCTAAGTAGCATGTCCCCATGGCATGCTATAATTTGTTCTTCTGATGGATATTCTTATTATGTGGATAGGAAAGATAAATGGACAATTCAAGCTGCAGATTGTTCTATCATACCCCCTTATTCACTTTCTACATAAGAAATATGATAGCTATGTTAGATTCAGGATGTTGGTCCATCTATCTGTTGAGCACTATCAACTGACTGCCTTTCGTTGACCATGTTGAAGCATGAGTCAAGAGTATCCTTTTATACAAGAAAAATTAACTTCTTTGAAACTCACTGGGAGAGCCAAATGGCAAGAATGATGGTGTCTCCCTTGCTTTCAGGAGTAGGCCATCCCGCAGGAGTAGGCCTCATCCAGCTCTTATTTAGGGACAATATGATTCTAGTGGCTGTTTTTTTTAACACTGTGATTCACAGAGGTGATGCAGAGGTGAGAAGCAAGCTTAGGTTACTGCTGTTGTGATATGTTTGCAGTGCTTCCTGAAAGGGCTTGAAGGGATTCAAGAAATATGAAATGATAAATCACGTCTTATTTTACCCACCAATCTTTTGAACATGCCACAAGTAGTTAAGATCACACCACATGCTAAATTAAAAACAAATCACAGTCTAGTTTGGGGTAATAGATAAATGCAGTCCCTATCTTCACTGAGCCACAGAACTAGTTTGACTGTTTTTAATTCAAAGAAGGCTGACCAGAATTTTCTTGCGTTCGCAGCTCAAGAGTGCAAAGCAAATTCAAGTCAAGTTTAATGAGTTTTGCTCATTAAAGGTAAAGATTCCCCTCACACATATGTGCTAGTCGTTCCCAACTCTAGGGGGCAGTGCTCATCTCTGTTTCAAAGCCAAAGAGCCAGCGCTGTCCAAAGACGTCTCCGTGGTCATGTGGCCGGCATGACTAAACGCCAAAGGCACATGGAATGTTGTTACCTTCCCACCAAAGCTGGTCCCTATTTTTTCTACTTGCATTTTTTATGTGCTTTCGAACTGCTAAATTGGCAGAAGCTGGGACAAGTAACGGGAGCTCACCCCGTTACGCGCCACTAGGGATTCCAAACGCTGAACTGCTGACCTTTTGATCGACAAACTCAGTGTCTTAGCCACTGAGCTACCGCGTCCTTCATTTGCTCGTTAGACATATGCAATGACTGCATCATAGGAAGGGGCTCTGCAGCACGCCCAATTGTTTGCAAAACCTGTTATTGCCCATGCCAAGGGACATTGTGTCTCTGATCCCTTAACTGGAAAGATGCTTAAACTTGAGATTTTTCGGCATGTGTTCAGTCGTGGCTCTGAGTTCACCCATTGTGGGGCTCTTGAGATGTTGCTGAACTTCTATTCCCAACAACTTCAGCCAGTAGGCCTGTATTCTGGAACGCCTGGCGTCAATATCCAGTTTCTGTTTTATAAAGGCATGAGGCTGAATCAAGCCAGCATTCAACTGAATGGCTTCCTAATGTCTTAGAAGATGCTTCACCTGAACCAGGGCAGCAGGGGGATGGTCCTAACCATGGAGGCTGAACCGAGAGGGAAGGTACACACAGGAAGCAAGATTTCTCAGTCTTCAGATATTTGAAGGAAAAAATTCCTCACTAAAGAGGGGCATTCCCTTACATCAGAGGTCTTCAAACTTGGCAGCTTTAAGACTTGTGGACTTCAACTCCCAGAATTCTCCAGCCAGCTATCAATTCTGGGAGTTGAAGTAGACAAGTGTTAAAGCTGCCAAGTTTGAAGGCCTCTGCCTTACATGTTCATGGGCATTACAAGTAGTCCTCGACTTACAACTGTTGATTTAATGACTGTTCAAAGTTACAACAGCACTGAAAAAAAGTGACTTATGACCATTTTTCACAATTGCAACTTGCTGTGATCAAAATCCAGATGCTTGGCAACTGGTTTATATTTATGACAGCTCCTGTGTCCTAGGCTCATGTTCGGCCAACTTCCGTCAAGCTAAGTCAAATTCACTTAACAACCAGGTTACTAACTCAACAACTGCAGTGATTCGCTTAACAACCATGTCAAGAAAGGTCATAAAATGGGTCAAAACTCACTTAACAAATGTCTCACTTAACAGCAGAAATTTTGGGCTCAATTGTGGTTGTAAGTCAAGGACTATCTGTATATTTTTCAATTGTTCCTTGGATTAGTCTCTTGACCTCTGGGCAAATTCCAATAATCTGAGAATTCAATCCTCTGCAAAGATCTTAAACTGCTACTATGTAGGTCTCTCTCGCTCTCCTGCCCTCCTTCTCTGTCTCTCTCTCTCTCTCACACACACACATATAAAGGGTGAAAAAGGATTTTGTTTTGCTTCTGTAGCGCTCTTGCAAATCACCAATTTTTGCAAAGCACATAGTTAGTACTTTTAACTGCCTTTGTGTTTTGTTTTTCTTCTAATGAGCTCTTAAAATACACAATTAGTTCACTGTCCTGCGATAGCAGAGTTTTCCAAGTTTTGACTGATCGATTGCCTAAGATGTGCTTTTGTCAGCAAATGCTAGTTCAGCCTTAACAACCACCAGACAATACAGAGCATATTATTGTCTTAATGTCAGCAAGAAATGGGATCGCCCACGCTATTGGATGTTTGTTTGCCTGAACATTGGAGTATTTATCTTCATTATTTAAGCAAGCACAGCTTTTGAAGCCTGTACGTGAATTGGTACTTTGTTACTGGGTAACAAACAATGGTAACCGATTAGTCAGTTCTTGGCCTGAGCCAACAGGTTGGGGTTCTCTTGGAAATGCCAAGGAAACAAAGGAGGAGATCTTATTCTGAGTTGGGATTAAATAGCTTAACTTTGTTCTTCATGAGCATGTAGTCCTGGATACAGGTGGGCAACTTTGAGAGAGGAATCCACAAGAATTTAGCATCTGTGCCTACGGTGTAATAAGCCTTTGGATGTTTGCTCATTAGGGCATGTTCCATGCACCTCACAACCAGTGACAGGTCTGAATTCTGGCACAGCTTGACTAATTTTTCTTTCTTTATTGCGTCTAGGGAAAGAAGAAAAGGGAGAGGAGAATATTTTCAGTAACAGGATTCAAGACTCTTGATTAAGTAGTTTGGTTATGATTCTTAACTTATAAAGCCGTAAAGAGAAATTGCATTGGATTGTGACATTAAGTTCATACAGATACATACAGTACTAATAGAGCTAACAAGATCTGACAGATTAGCGTATGGTTTTGTCCTCTTAATCTACAAAGAATACTGATAGTATGATCGGGCAAGAGGGAGAGAGAGACAATTTTTACACTTCACACACACATACACAAATTGGCTCATTTCTTGCAGCTGAGGAAAATGACTGATGCTGTATTTAGGCAGGGCCCTCACTAGTGATTTATAGCATCTTCTGGCGACATCCAACTACAGTTGTGCTGATACTACAATCATAAGAATAGGGTTATACTGAGGCAATGGTGACAGATGACAGTACTGTAGAAGATGATGTGAATTATTACAAAACTGGCCTTACTGACAGTTAAGGAAAGGCAGTGAGCATCTAGATAAGGGGTGGGGAACTATTGGCCCTTTTATAACTTGTGGACTTCAACTCCCAGAATTCCTGAGCCAGTCATGAAGTCATAAAAGGGCCATAATTCCCCACTCCCAATCTGGATAATTTTGAAGCCTAGAATTCATGGAGCTGAAGTCCACAATTCTGAAATCACTAAGAAAGCTGAAAAAGACTACTTTAGAAAAATACAGAGTGCCCACAGAACCTGTGGCAATAACTATCTACACGGTGGCGCACTGGTTAGAATACAGTACTGCAGGCTACTTCTGCTGACTGCCATCTGCCTGCAATTTGGCAGTTTGAATCTCACCAGGCTCAAGGTTGACTCAGCCTTCCCTCTGAGGTGGGTAAAATGAGGACCCAGATTGTTGGGGGCAAAATGCTGACTCTGTAAACCGCTTAGAGAGGGCTGTGAAGCACTGTGAAGTGGTATATAAGTCTAAGTGCTATTGCTATTGCTACATGGCCAGCCTGCTATTCAAAATGTAAGCCATTTTTAAAATAAAAATAGCTTGCCATGAGTAGCCTCAACCTAGATGCTAGTGATGACCCTTCTACTGCTCCCTCCATGAAGGTGGATTGTGGGGTTCTGGAATTTGGTGCTGAGTTAACCATCAAACAAAAGGAAGTGTTAGGATAGCGTTTTGGAGGCTAAGAGGAGACCATGGCAAAGGGAATCTCCCCATGGATAAAATGAAAAGAGGGCATTTAAATGCTCATCGCATCAAAGACACCAGCTGAACCAAGATAGGTCAGATTCCCCTGAAATCTGACAGCTCCAGAGTTTCTTTAGGGCCTTGAAATCCTTTCATAGCTTACCTTCCTTGAGGTAATGTTCACCATACTGCCGTTGGATGATGGAAGGAAGGCTATTCCATATGGCCACTTTTTCTTTTACGACCCGGACTCTATCAGAGAGAGCTGTTTTGAACAAGCCAGGTTGAATACAGGACACTTTCACTCCAAAGGGCTTCATATCCTGTCTGCAAAACAGGAAAAGATGTCAACAGTAATTCAATAACTTACACTAGAAGAACTTTTCAGAGACAGAAAGTATTGTTGAATTTGGTAACACCACACACCCATTTTATGGTCTGTTTCTGTTGCTCCCCTTTGGGAGGAGGTTTTGAAGTATTTCTAGTAGGACTACAAGATTTTGTAACAGCTTTGTTCCCTATGCCATCCGCCTGTAAACTTGCAAGATTCGTTTCTCTCACCATGTACATGTATACATCAGAGGTGGGTTTCAGCAGGTTCTGACCAGTTCTGGAGAACCGGTAGTGGAAATTTTGAGCAGTTCAGAGAACCAGTAGTAAAAATTCTGACTGGCCCCGCCCCCATCTATTCTCTACCTCCCAAGTCCCAGCTGATTGGGAGGAAATGGGATTTTGCAGTATCCTTCCCCTGCCACGCCCACAGAACCAGTAGTAAAAAAATTTGAAACCCACCACTGGTACACATCTGAACTAGACTGTATTGTTTTTCTATGTCATATATTATATATGGGTACATACATACATACATACATATTTAATTATTTATTATGTCATGTTTATATAGTGGATATTGCAAATGGTGACCCTTTGAGAGGTATATGCAACAAAATTTCATTTTAATGTATGTGTCAACCCTCAAAATGACTTCAGCCATGCTTACTTAACCATGGCAGTATGCCAATTAATGTACATTCAAAGTGACAATAAAGTTATTATTCTGTTCTGTCCTGTCCTGTCCTGTCCTGTCCTGTCCTGTCCTGTCCTGTCCTATCCTATCCTATCTTATCTGTGATTAAATAGCTATTAAAAGTCATGAGCTTTTAATGAGCAGGAAATCAGATGACAGGAACTGCAGTCTGTAAAAACCTATGCTTTTTACTAATATTTGTCTTTCAAAAAAAATGTGCTACAAGACTCTAGATTTGCACAATCTAGATCAGCATATACATAATTTCCTTTTACAACGTTTACTGCTGATTGCACCAAGGCACCTTAGACGTTTGTTAATATTTAAAACTTTCCCTTCCTCCTTGAGACAAGTACCTAGGAAAAGCCATTTTCTTTCCAAAAATCCAACCGATTTCAGGGGGAAAACAATCCTCTTACCAAGCCAGACTTTTCCTGTCCTCATTCTTCCTTTTGCCATTACTTTACAAGTAAGAGAAGGTTTAATGTATGTTAAAGCCTTGGCTCGCTTGCAGTGAACCATGTATAGATGAGTCATTCATAAAGTGGAATGATCGGATACGATGCTGACATTAGAGCCCACTGAGACTGGATTGAATCTTAGGCACGATGAATCTTATTTAGCGACTTCTGCCTTACCTTAAATTGTTGGTAAAGGCTTCTGCTCCGTATTTGGATGGACAATAACCCCCTGAACATATTGCCAGAATACCACCAACGCTGGTTACGTTTACTATTCTTCCTTTGGCTTTCTTCACCAACGGAAGCATGTTTAATGTAACGTTTATGAGGCCAATCAGGTTGATTTCAATGGGAGCTCTAAAGTGCTCAATCCTCAGCCAATCGGTGGGGGCTGATGGTCCCATGACGCCAGCATTATTGATAAGGCCCCAGAGACCTGCAAAGAAAGAAAGGGGAAAAAAAACACCTCACAAAAAGTATCATATCTGAATATATACTGCTCAAAAAAATAAAGGGAACACAAGCAGAAGACATCCGAGATCTGAATGAATGAAATAGCCTTATTAAATCCTTTGTTCTTTATATACAGTAGTTTATACACTGCTCAAACAACTAAAGGGAACACAAAACTACTGTATGTAACGAAAAAAGTATTTAATAAGGCTATTTCATTCATTCAGAACTCGGATGTCTTCTGCTTGTGTTCTCTTTATTTTTTTGAGCAGTGTAATAAATAATGTTCCGGCCATTATGAAAAGCGTTAAGAAATTGGATGCACACACAGATATACTATGTTGCCCCAATCATAATCCAGGTACGTTGATTGTTTTCACCACACATAATCTGTTTATCCTTAGACGGATGTAACCGAACTAGAAAACTGAAAACCACGTTCTTGGAAGGGCATTGCAGAAAGCTGCCATAATAAGAGATGTTTTGGGTCCGTATAGCCAGGTATCCCTTGCATTAACTGGCAATGGCTTGCCACGATTTTTATAGCTCTTCCTGGAGATGTCATTGATTGATTCCAGAGGCAAAGCAAAATTTCTGTCGCTACTATTTAACCTGAACAATAGATTAAGGGAAGATGCCCGAGATTGAAGGGCTGTTAGGCAGAGGATAGATCACAGAGATATTTTTTCAGACAGCTACAACTAAGACATGGAAGAGGGAGAGAAGCTAGCTAAACATTAGGAGGAACTGCCCAATGATGCAAGTTGCTTGGCAGTAAAAATATTGACTCTTTCTTGCCAGTGCAATTCCCAAAGTGCTTTCTGGATATCATTTAAATCAGTGTTTTTCTACCTCAGCAACTTTAAGATGGGTGGACTTCAACTCCCAGAATTCTGCAGCCAGCATAGGAATGCTGGGAGTTGAGGTCCGCCCATCTTAAAGTTGCTGAGGTAGAGAAACATTGATTTAAGATATTGGTGTTAACCTTTAAACATCCCTCAACAGCTTAGAATCTAAACATAAAAGAAATTACCTATGTAATTTTTGACTTTCCCAGATATCATGATATATATATAGGACAGAGGTGGTTTTTTTTTTTTTTTTTTTGAAGATGCCTCATTTACTGGTCATATACTCGCTATTAGCCTTCAGCAGATAAGAACAGTTAAGATATTTTACTGGGGTTTTAATTTTTTCATTCTGTTAAATTTTATTTTACATCTTTATTATTCCAATTATTCCATAAATGGAAAAGTGGGATAAACTGAATACAATACTCAGAAGTAAGTCCTGCTATGTTCATGCCTTATTATCATTGAATTATTTAATCAATTTATATGGCTGCCCAGATTGAAACAGCAATTCTGGGTGGCTAAGAAAGGGTTAAAACTGTAATATAATTAAACAAACATAAATATACCTAATTGATATGTTATCCCTTTTCTATCATCTTTAAAGCATGAACTTAAAGAGAGAGGAAGAGAGGGAGGGACAATTATTTCTTGAATATAAGGAGATAGCTACAAAATATGGCAGATTGTTGGCAATATGTAAGCCATTATTCTTATGCCCATTTTACAGAACCGCCACTTCAACTAAATGGGTTTTTGCTTAATGGAGTTTCAGTTGCACTGCCAGGCTGAAGCATAGCAAAATACAGAAACATATCCCAGAAGCATCTTGTTTGTAGAGGGGGTCCATTTTAAAATTCCCTATGGATTGGCACAGGATAGCTGCTGCTGCCACATATTGTCAGAAAACTGGCCAACAAAAGCCCTACCTCAGCCTTTCTTGGGGGAAAGTCCAACAAAAGCAGCAAAATAAATTCCATCAGCTTACTCCCTCCTGTGCTCCACTTCCTACCCTGTTTCCCCCAAAAAAGTCTTTGTCCGAGGGAGACCACTGTTCCTCAGATAGCCGGATGTGAGTCCCTTTTTGTGAAGTGGGGCCGTGGGGTACAGATGGGTTTGCTGATTACGTACTTGGCTCCCTGCCACGTGGCAGCGACCCTGCCCGAGCTACTCGACGTCATAGCCGGGGTGGCGGTTGATACCCCCCGACTTATTGTCATGGGGGATTTCAACCTTCTGTCTGCAGGTGAGGCGTCAGAGGTGGCCCAGGAGTTCATGGCTTCCATGACGGCCATGGACCTGACCCAGTTAATTCAAGGCCCAACTCACATAGGGGGACACACTCTGGATCTGATTTTTGTCTCTGGTCAGTGGTTGAATGATCTTGGTAGAGGGGACCTAGACATCAAACCCTTGTCATGGACAGATCCTTCGCTCCTTCACTTGGACTTTCCTACCGCTTCCCCCCACCGCAGGGAGACGGAACCGACCAGATGGTTCCGTCCCAGGCGTCTGATGGACCCCGAAAGGTTCCTGACGGAGCTTGGGCCATTTCCTGAGACTCTAACACACGACTCGACTGAAGAGCTGGTGGCCGCCTGGGAGAGTGCGGCCGCCAGAGCTTTGGACCGCGTTGTGCCTTTGCGGCCTCTGACCCGATGCTGATCTCAATTGGCTCCTTGGTTCTCTGAGGAGCTGAGAGAGATGAAGCGTCGGAAAAGACGCCTAGAGAGCATTTGGAGGACTAGTCAATCCGATTCCAACCGGACAGAGGTGAGGTCTTATATCAAGACGTACCTAGTGGCGATAAAAGCGGCAAAATCTAACCATTTTTCCGCTCTTATCGCATCTGCAGAGAACCGCCCAGCCGCCCTGTTTAGGGTGACCCACTCCCTTCTTCGGGGGGGAGTGCAGGAAGATCCCTTGCAGGGTCGTGCTGAGGATTTTGTGCAATTCCTGCATGATAAAGTCGCTCGGATTCGGGAGGGCTTGGACTCCGATTGGATGTGTCCAGGGGAGGAGATGAGGGCAGGTCTTGAGAATATTATCTGGGAGGAGTTTGATCCTGTGGCTCCCGAGGATGTGGACAGGGTTCTGGGTAAGATTAGTGCCGCCACGTGTTTATTGGACCCATGTCCCTCCTGGTTGGTACTGGCCTCCCGGGAGGTTACACGAGGCTGCCTCCAGGGAATTATAAATGCTTCTCTGAGTGAGGGCGCATTTCCTGCCGCCTTGAAAGAGGCGGTAGTGAGGCCCCTCCTCAAGAAGCCTTCCCTGGACCCGGCTGAATTAGCTAACTACCGTCCAGTCTCCAACCTTCGTTTTGTGGCGAAGGTTGTTGAGAGCGTGGTGGCACGACAGCGTCCCCGGCTTCTCCTGGATGAAGCTATCTATCTGGACCCATGCCAGTCGGGCTTCAGGCAGGGGTACAGCACTGAAACGGCATTGGTCGCATTGGTGGATGATCTCTGGAGGGCTTGGGACAGGGGCTGCTCCTCTGTCCTAGTCCTATTAGATCTCTCAGCGGCTTTTGATACCATCGACCATGGTATCATGCTGCAGCAGTTGAGAGGGTTAGGAATAGAGGGCACCGTTCTGCGGTGGTTCTCCTCCTTCCTCTCCGACCACTCACAGTTCGTGTTGACAGGGGGGCAGAGGTCGACCTTGAGGCACCTCGCATGGGGAGTGCTGCAAGGTTCGGTCCTCTCGCCCCTTCTGTTCAACATTTATGTGAAGCCACTGGGCGAGATCATCCGTGGTTTTGGGGTGAAGTGTCATCTATACGCTAATGATACTCAGCTGTACATCTCCACCCCTGACCACCCCAACGATGCCCTTGAAATGATGTCTCACTGCCTGGAGGCCGTGCGGGTCTGGATGGGGAGGAACAGGCTCAGACTCAACCCTTCCAAGACTGAGTGGCTGTGGCTTCCGGCGTCCCGATATAGTCAGCAGGTGCCATCGCTGACTATTGGGGGTGAATCCTTGCCCCCCACGGAGAGGGCTCGCAATCTGGGCGTCCTCCTGGACGCACGGCTGTTTTTAGAAGAGCATATGACGGCCGTGGCCTTTTATCAGGTTTGCCTGATTCTCCAGTTGCAGCCCTTTCTGGACCGGGACGCCTTGCGCACGGTCACTCACGCCCTTGTCACCTCCCGGCTGGACTATTGTAATGCTCTCTACATGGGGCTCCACTTGAAGAGCACTCGGAGGCTCCAGCTGGTCCAGAATGCGGCCGCACGGGTGGGTTATGGGCGCAACCCGTTGCGCCCACGTGACGCCCCTCCTGCGCGAGCTGCACTGGCTCCCAGTGGTCTTCCGGGTGCGATTCAAGGTGCTGGTTACCACCTTTAAAGCGCTCCATGGCATAGGACCCGGGTACCTTCGAGACCGTCTTCTGCCACCAATAGCCTCCCACCGGCCAGTTCGCTCCCACAGAGGGCCTCCTCAGGGTGCCATCGGCCAAGTTATGTCGGCTGGCGACACCCAGGGGGAGGGCCTTCTCTGTGGGTGCCCCAGCCCTGTGGAATGAACTGCCCCCGGAAATACATAAGGTCTCCGACCTCTGGGTATTTTGTTGCGCACTAAAGACCCTGTTGTTCCGCCAGGCTGGGCTATCAACATAACATTTTTAAATTGGGTTTTAAATTTCTGGGGTTTTAAAATTTAGCCGAATTTATTTAATAATTTTAAACTATTTTAACTGATGTTGTTTTGTGTTTTTAATAGGCTGTACACCGCCCTGAGTCCTTCGGGAGAAGGGCGGTATAGAAATAAAATTATTATTATTATTATTATTATTATTATTATTATTATTATTATTATTATTATTATTATTATTATTATTATTAAATAAGACATCCCCTGACAATAAGCCCAATCGGGCTTTTGAGCGCATGGCAATAAGGCAAGCACTTATTTCAGGGTTCAAAAAAATATAAGACAGGGTCTTATTTTCGGGAAACACAGTATCATTCCCAACCAGTATGGACTTTGACATACCAGTAATTGGGAACCAGCGGATGAAAACAAAGTTTCACTCTTGTTCATAACCCCATTAATATCCATCCCACAAAAGAGCGGAGGCTCACTTCTCAACTCTCTATTTAGTAGGCAGAGAGAAACATTCAGCAACAGGACTTAATTGCTTACCCCGTTGTCCTACTTCTTTCTTAACTTGTTCTGCTACTTGCTTGATGTTTTCTGAGTTTGTCACATCCAGCTGCATTGTTTGGAGGTTAGCCGACGATTCCTCTTTCAGCTCCTTTGCCCCTTTTCAGTTAGGCAACCAGCAATCACTTGAAATCCTCGCCTATCAAAGGTCATAGCTGCCAGTTTCCCAAATCCAGAGTCACAACCAGTGATGAATATGTATTTCCCTTGGGGATCCACGTCATCTAAATTCTCCCCATCTCTCCATCTCCACCATATAAAGATGACGATTAACCACAGGACCAAATGGTACCACATGCTAAAATTGTACTCGTCGCTTTCCTCCTGAAATAAATATGAAAACAAAATTGTCCCAGGCGTTAAATTCATGTCTTTCCCTTGACCGTCCACTTCCATAAATGAATAAATATGAAGAGAGGACCATTATTTGAGAGGCAGTAACTTTTTGCATAAAAAATACAATTAGCTACTATCTTTATTGTGATAATTTAAAATGAGACCACAGGCCACACAAGGATTACTTTACCAGGCAAGTAAAAAGCAGCAAGTGGAGAAAAAGTCTGCAAATCTGAAAAAACACGCTTGATGCTATAGTGATGAGTTACGCTACACAAATCGACATAATAATCTGAATGTTGTTCATGATTAATGGAGGAATATGATTTTGAACCAGCCTGTGCTGATCCACTCTGCTCATCTGCTCTATTAGCTATATTAATATTACTACTTTGTGGTTCAGTTCAGGCCTACAAAATTTTCTCCAATGATCTTCCAAGCAGTGCCACACATTGCACTATGCTGTAACATGGACTGTTGGCTTGTGGCATAAACACAGACAATGTCATTTAGAGTGTCATAAAATCTCAACTAACTCTGGGCTTATTATTCAGTAAATCATGTTTAAGCAAAGCAGACCTTAACATAATATGCAAGCATGTGTTGGATCTATTCTGTTCTTCTAATCCATGTCCTGGACTAATCCACCTGTAGTATATCTGAAGGCACAAAGTCATTATCTAATTCACACACAGCACTCTGTGAGAAAAACATCACAAATAGGAAGCTAAGCTAGGTTGGAGAAAGAATTTATTACGCAGTGTTTCCTGGGGATTTCGCAAAGAAACTTTAGTTCAATGATTTACCTATCTATACTCAAGGCCGTGGTTCTACATAGTTCCTAGGCAACTGTTAATCTGGACTTTGTTCTTCTCATTTGACCCTGATTTCATAACAATCGTGAATACGGACTTACTAGAAAACTAAATAATGATGTATTTCAATAACCAACCCTGCTCAGGAATTTTTACTCTATAGGTAAAAAGGTAGGTAAACACCTAGGAGACATCTTTCAGCACTAGTTCTTAAAACCATCTTTTTATGCTGAAGAATTGTTTTCTCAGCATCTGAGAAGACAATTCAAGACTTTCCTTGTTCCCTTTGTAAACAGAATAAACTATCACCATTATGGTACCCAAAAATCATCCCCGAGAGGATTCTCAGGGCCCGATGCGAGGGAAGAACAAAAAAAGATGTAAGAAAAATATTCATCTTTTAACACTTACCTCAGCCATGTTGAGCTGTGATTTCGATAACGGGGTGTCTATTTAGTGTGCTTTGTCTGAACCAAGAAGCTGTGTGCTTGTCTTATCAGTTTACTTCCTATTCTCTGAAGAACCCATCTTAAAAGCAGGATATTGCAGTAATCGTGTTGCAGAACAGAACTGGTGGATGTGTTTGTCTTTTAATAATTCTGTTCACACCGATGTTGTTGAACCGGTTAACCTAAGGGTGCAATAGTTACAGAACACGTATTATTTGTTTGGTAAGATCACACAAAAGCTGTAAGCCGAATTTTATTTAGAAACTTTTTTCTAAACATTTTTTCATTCTTAGAAACAGGAAATTGGTATAAGACCTATTACTTTCTATTTTAAATAAACAAATTAACATTCTACCCAACATATCGGTTGTATCACAAATTATACAAATGGTTTATGTACCACATTTCTACACAGCCTTTTAATTTAAAAAAAATGTTCCCAATATTATATTTCTGCAATTAAAATATTGAGTTAAAAATAAAATAAAACTGAGAATCATTTAGAGTACAAAATAGATTAAAATGATTAGATCTCTGTTATGGTTCCTTCGAGTATATTTGGTTACAGCTTCACCACAGCAAGTGTGTTCTTTCCCCATATTAGCTTAGCATGGTGAAAGTTACTGAAAGTATCTAGAGGGTTTTAGGCCGATGAAGGCCAGCATGAAAAAACTCTCTTTTTACGACCCTGTAATCCCTTAATTCGGGGTAGAGTCAGGGTGAAAATGAGCATTTACTGGCTGGATGCCCTTCTTGACACCATGCGGAGTTTGTGGCAGATATATTTTTTTGTACCTTAGGAGAGAAACATCTGTCGCTACCTAGGATTGAACTCTCAACCTTGCGAGTGGGAGGTGAGCATCTTCATCACTAGGCCACCACACCACTCTGATGAAGGCAAGCACTATAGGACTTAAATAATTAAGGCAAGTTTCTTGGCTTCATTACATCATCACATTTGAAGAGACAGATAGATTTGTTTGTACAGTACAACAGACTTTGCCTTTCTTTTGCCTTAGAGAGGAAAGAAAGAAATATAGGAGTGGCAGGAATTACAATAAAACCCACCATGGCACTCCTACACTCTGGTGCCATAACATTTCTAAAGTAAAGAAAGAAATGACAACAGAAACTTTTTTTCCCCTGAAAACAACTACAGCAACTTGTTTTTCTGAGTTCCTGTTCCCATGCCTCTGGGAGTTTTATTTACATATCAACAGGAAGTTCATTAAACAGTAACTCCTTTTTCCTTGCCTTGTTGTATTTAACAATCTTCGGGTTTTGCATTATTAATTTATGAAAGTGCACCCATAGGTCTTGAAGAAATGTATTTGGTTTGACAGCATTGTGGGCAGCAAAGGGGTTTACATAAAATATTTTAATTATTTTAAGAATAATTGAACAGAACTCTTCCTTCCTTCCTTTTTCTTTCATTCTGTAGAAAAGCTGGCATAATAAAAGCTGGCTTGCTATGTACATCTATGGCCATGCTCTCTCAAAGAATGCTCACAAGTCCTAGATGTTGTGACGCTAATATCAGGTGAAAATCTAATTCTCTCCCTTTGTGTTTAAAGGACAGCTTCACATGCTTGTTCAGATTTTGGAAAGGGCTGAACAGTTAGATCTATAATTCCTTTAGATTATTATGAGCTCTCTGTATTCTCTCCACAGAGAGCTGTAGCCACGTTAACTGACTGTAGCCACGTTAACAAGTTTTTATACGAGAGTATCGATGTGTCTGGGGAAGGTGGAAATAAATTCAGGAATCCTAATTATATTCAGATTCTGCTGATTTAGTTTCCAGAAGAAAATTCCAGCGAGAAATCAGCAGCTAGCAGGACATGAATTCTCATGGCGGGGGGCGGGGGGGGGATTCCTATCAATTAACTTTTGGGTCCTCCAGGATAATAATGGGAAACCAAGAATTAGCTGTAGTTGCACAAGCATGCTTTCCCATTTTAGGAGAACAATCCCAAATGTATAATCTTTGGCAATGTGAACCTACTGTATGTAAAGAAATACATCTTATGTTCTTTAGACAGTGGGGCTGTTCTCCTAATTTTGCCAATCTGGCTAGAGGAACTCACAGAAAAAACACTGAAAATAAATAGAGGACTCAAGTGTGAGCAAATAATATGGAAGGGGGGCAAAATTCCTAAAGCTAACATTGGTCCAAATGATTAAATTGCCCAGGCTGATTGTATTAACTACATCTAGGCTCTAGTCATTAAATTTTCATCCTACCATCAAGAGGTGCCTGCCATGCTCAGTGTGTCTCAGTCCTGATTTAAGGAAGAAAGGCAGGCTAACTGTCCAAGGAGGTGCTGAGCTTTTCTGAACATGGGGATAAAATGGCAGCAAGTCCTTCTACTCTTCTAGTTTAAAGGAAGTACTCATTAATATCCTCTGGTAATTAGATTAACTCCCATGATTCTTGATGTGCTGTGCTGGAGAGTTTGGTACACTAGGTCTACTGGATTTCAGAAGCCTGAGACTCTAAGCAGAGTTTAGAGATGACAAAAATCACGGCTTAGTGATGTCACAAACCACATACATTCTTAGAAAGAACCAAACAGATCAGAAAGCTCAAGGAAGTCAATCAAATTTATTCCTAGAAATTCATGCGTATCTTCTCAAAATTCCATGTGTGCAAATTATACAGTATAAAGTGTACAGTATCCCAGTCACAGCAACTTTTTTTCCGTAATCTCCAAAATCTAATTCCTTCTAACATACCTTTCCCGGAGTCATTCCCCAATAATGGAGCACACTCTCTCAAGAACCGTGTCTCGTTACTGTGTAGTCTATGCTTTTGAAAAGGGTGTTCAGAGTTGGCCTTCTGACTTGGCCTTCTGAATTGTGTTATTGATGCTTTGTGTGTGCATTATTTAATTATTTTTCAATTCTGTTCTTTAAACATTATTCCTCTATCAAATGTTGCTGTTAGCTGCTATGAATATATGTGTTAGGTGGGAACATGGGATGCAAATTATCATTACCATTCAATTCCTTTTTTTCCCTTTGCCTCTATTTTTCTCATTATGATCTACGTATGATAATACAGTTTGATGTCCCCCAAATATTAACTTCACCATCAGAAGTGGGTTTCACTTATCTTTATCACCGGTTCGCCACTCATGTGCACACTCGCTTCACGGGTGCGCTGTCCGCACATGTGCCTGGCCTTCCATGCATGCACTTTGCTCACTTGCGCGCCTTCCATGCATGCGCCCGGCCTCGAAAATGTGCCTAAATAGCACAACATGGAGCCGGGGTGGGTGAGCAGGCCCACCCGCGATCACAGCTACCAGTTCACCCAAACCAGTCTCAACCGGCTGAATGCTATCTCTGTTCAACATGTATCCTGACATATAAATCCACATTGTTGCTAAGGTGGTGAGGAGTGCCATACATTTTATCTACCATTGCTGGGACGAAAGAAGGAACCCCCAGAATCGAGGGTGCTTAAATCACGCCATGGGAACAAAGCAAAGCCAATATAATGGGGGTAAAATTGAGATAATATATTGACATTTTATGTTATGAATGATTTATGGTCACATTATATCTAACAAAGGAAATAAGATCCTATATCAGCTGCTTGTGTCTCTCTTTAAATTCCTCTCACCCCCCCATCAATTCCTTCATAAACCTGACGGAATATTTATTGAGTTGTATTAAAACACATTTTGTAAGCCGCCTTGAGTCCCTAGGGAGAAAGGCGGCATATAAATCGCAATAAATAAATAAATAAATAAAACAGAATATCAAGAAAGATAACACATTGAAAAACATACAATAATAGCAATAGCACTTAGACTTATATACCTCTTCACAGTGCTTTACAGCCCTCTCTAAGCGGTTTACAGAGTCAGCATATTGCCCCCAACAATCTGGGTCTTCATTTTACCGACCTCGGAAGGAGGGAAGGCTGAGTCAACCTTGAGCCGGTGAGAATCCAACTGCTGGCAGTTGGCAGAATTAGCCTGCAGTACTACATTCCAACCACTGTGCCACCACAGGTCTTTCAAGATACAAGATGATCTTATTCCATTCTCACCATTCTTGCTCATTCATATCTTAACTCAAAAAGGAGCGCAATGGTTCAGTGGTTAAAGATGCTGAGCTTGACAATTGGAAAGCTGACAGCCTGGGTTCAAGACCTGAGTGCTGCATGATGGGGTGAGCTCCCATTCCTTGCCCTGGCTCCTGCCCACCTAGCAGTTTGAAAGCATGCAAATGCAAATAGATAAATAGGTACTACTTCGATGGGAAGGTAGCAGTGCTCTGTATGCCTTGGTGTATATAGCCATGCTGGCCACATGACCACAGAAATGTCTTCAGACAATGCTGGCTCCCTCAGCAAAGAAATGGAGATGAGCAGCACCCCCTTGAATTGGACATGACTGGACAGGGGAAATTTTTTACCTTTACCTTATCTTGACTCACAGCAGGGGAGTGCTTCTCCATTTGACTTAGCAAAGTCCACAATTCTGCTATGCCAGATTCACAGTCAGTACTACAATCCGGAGCATCACCAGCTGAAGCCAAGCAGCCAATATCTGAAGCAGTAGACGTAAGATGGATGTGTTTTATCCCCTCCTTTCCTTTTCTTGTCTTTGGAGGCAATTGGTGCTGGTGCTTCTGGTGCTTCTCTTCTAGCACAATCAAAAGAGTGTGGAGGAGGCAGCGTTCATGGTGTAAGGGTGTCTTCTGTTTTAAAATAGAAGGGAAGCACACTGTGGTGAGGCTAAAGGGTTGTCTTTATGAGACCACCATCTAAAAAAATGATGTGGTTGGTCTGACTGCTCGCACCATCTGCACAAACCTTTTGTCAGGGTTCCGAGTAACACATCTGTCAAAAGCAGAACTTCCAGACAGGTAGATTCCTCAAAGAACATGTTTATTGGATATATCCTATTGGTACAGCTAATGAAAACCAACTCTAAAAGTTCCTGTGGTTTTCCCCCTAATTAAAAGAACAAATATTTCCCTCCCCAGACTTTTTATAACCAGAATCCAAAGGAATGTATTCATGGAACTTATTAGAAGACTCATCTATAACTTGTATGGATTTTTTTTTTTTTGGGTGGTCTCAAGTCTGTGTTGACGTCTGACAACTGTCTAGACTAGTCCCTGATGTTTTCTTAGCAAGCTTTTCCGAAGAAGTTTGCCATTGCCTCCTTACAGAGGGGGGTGGGGGTGGGGATTGCCCATGGTCACCCAACTGGCTTTGTGCCTACAACTCCTTGTCTCCCAGTTTACTTGCCTGATGCCTTAACCACTACACCAAACTAGTACTTTAAAGGAGGAGATATTGCATAAATGGAAAGACTGATGCAACAAAAAACAGCTAAGCAGCACTTTTCAGTATTCCAGGACATTTCTATTTTGAAGCTACTTTTTTTGGCATGTTAAATAACTGCAATGAGGCCGTTCATTCCCATTGATTTTCTATTTTTGAAGAAATACTAAAAAATACAATCTTCCTAGTGATTACCAAATGAGGATAACACTCTTCCATGTCCATCCCTTATTCCTTAATTTTTGTATTCTTTGAAATATATTGTAAGTTATATTTTAATATGTTTAAACTTTTCAAAACGAACGTTTTTAGCTAGTTGGTAATAAAGGAACTCAAGGTCCAATATAAACCATATATGGAATTTGACTCACAGGTTGGCCAATAATTAGCTCGCACAGGCACTGATGATCCTACAGCAATATGTACATTTTTATATCAAAAATAAAATTGGCCTTACCTTATTAAAGAAAATACTGGGGGCATGTGCTATAAATGAAAAAGCTCTTCAAGTTGGAAGAGTGTCCTCACTCCCCCACCAGACTGAAATATTAAAACTGAATATTCACAAGAATCATTATAAAACTCATGAATCCTGAGTCATGAATAGCAGCAGGTGTCAGAAAAAATAATCATTGTGGTCAAAAGAATTACGCAACTGAGGATTCTTGAGGGTTTTTTCCCCCCAGTAATCTTAAATATTAATTGCATCTTTATTCCACATTGAAATGTTCTTGGCTCATGAAACTATTTTTTTAAACTGTCTAAAGAGTTTCCTTGGAAAGGTGGAATCCCAATAAAGTAATAAATCTGAAAGTATTTCAGTGTACTTAGTAAATAAGGAAGGTGACATAATTGTGACCTTTTCTCAGAATTTCACTTCCCTTTCAGAGAAGTCATTTCTACATTATTTCTAAATTCCTTTGCTATATGTTGCAGGAATGAATGAAAATGTTACTTTCCTGGATTACAACTGACGATCGAATGCATTTACAAAAATATACAAATATTTCTCTTTAATCTGTGTGCTGTATCTCAGACACAGCTCAATGCCTTCAAATTCTCTCTGCCTCTCTTCTCCAAACAATTGCCTAAGACAATTGGCAATAGGGGTTTTTAGAAAAAATTAAAAAGATTTTAGCTTATAAGGGCCAAAGCACTGACATTTTAAGAGGGAAGGAGGCAGCAACACTTTTAGATGGTTGTTTCTGTTTAAGAAGTAAGTTAAATGTATTAAACTTAGGAGAGGTATTGTACAAATATAACATATTATTTGAGGTGGGGGTGGGGGGTTATTGAAAAAGTATATTGCCACTGAAACTTAGTGCATGATTTGAAAAGGTTTAAAGAGGTATAAAACAGGGCCTAGTAATATTTTTTAAAAAACCACCAGCTGAATATTGCCAAATCCTGCTGTGAGAAAAACTTTGATCTAGGCTGACAATAACCCCCTTCATAAGCTGGTTGGGTTTTCAAGCCCTCCTGCAGAGGTCAAAGCTAAGACCTGTTTTGTCCAGAAAGAGATCATTCTACAATGTTGAAACAAATGGACAAAGCAATTAGCTGCTTTCTCCTCAGGTGAGTACCGGCAATTATGAAAAGACCTCCCACATGATGTGGAAGAGCCAATCAACTATCTTGGAGCTTCTAGGTGACCCATATGTAACTCAGTGAGAGCAAGGGAAGGATTTTCTGTCCCTATACTAACTGCTGTAGATCCATATGCACTTTACAGGATCCAATCTGGGTCGGTCACCAGGGCCAGTGGTTTTGTCTTCTGAGCTTTCGGACTCATGCTGGATCCCATCTTCAGGGAACTTCTCTCCAGCAGAGTGACATACTCTCCTAGCGAGAAGTTCTAAGGACCCAGATTGGATCCTGCCCCGTTATCCTGGGACATATATATTTGCCTTCATTTGTAGGAAAATTTATCTACATGGCTTCAGAAGCATTGTTTTTGCTTTCTCAGACTAACACAGTTCATAAATTAGCTATGGGGTAACTAGAACTTTGGGACTGATTAATTAACCAAAAATGGGTACCTGACACTACACAAACTTAGAAAGGAATTCTTCATAAGAGACCAGAGACCCTGGGATCAAGACTGCAAACTGATTTGGTGGGCTAGCATTTTAGGACAGAATGAGGTGACCATCTGCC